CGGCCTCACGCGAGCGCACGGAGCAGCGCTGGGCAGAGCGGAGCAGAGCGGGGCAGCGCGGGGCAGAGCGGAGCACACCACACGCGACACGCTCATTATCACGATCACGGCCGGTGTCAGGACCGTGTCAGGACACGAGGTGGGCGCTGCGCACCCGTATCGGTCGGCGCGATCACCACCTCCAATCACCCGTTTACCCCAGATTCAAAGTTATACGACGCAGCATCGCGGTGTAAACTAAAATCACCATCACAACCATCATAATCACCATCAAACCGTCATCCGTCATCGCCCCATCATGATCATCCGATTTGATTTTTGCGCACGCGCCGCGTTTTACGACAGTCACCGTCCGCTTATTATATTCTGCACTTTACCATCACCCACTATGGACCTGTATGCAACACTGTGACAATGGTGCCCAAGGGCGTGCTGCTCGCGCTGTTCTGCACTCTGCGGCGCAGTAGTGCAGAGTGCAACAATGGACGTCGCAGGCCTCGGATTTAGCAGCCTGCTCCTCTGAAAAAAAAAACCTCTTGCCATTAGTATTACTTGATGCTGATAGGGAAGGCAGAATGTAATAAATAATAGCTCCAGCATGCGAATAGCCAATGCTAAATCAATCGATCATAGAAAATATTATTGGAATGGTACTGGAGTAAGAACGATTCTAGCACCCCCAGGTGCGGTAAGGTCCGGCGGACAGCGGGAGAGGGGGGGGGAGCGTTGTTGGTTGCCTACTTCCAGGGGTTTCGTGGGACAAATTGCCTACTTTTCAGGTGGCCCACTAGAGTTACTTCAACCGCTCCTGAGCACCCTTCATAATTTACTCTCTTTTTTGTTAGTATGACTAGCTCTTTCAAGAAATAATCGCAGGTTTATAAATCTGCCGAAATAATGTCGCAAGACCATAGTAAGTGTTTGTCTAACTCCTTTTCTCTTGTCGGTCAGCAGCCAGCATCCATCCCACCCACTGCATGAAACAAGGTGGCGCCTGCCTCGTGGAGAGGTAATTATTGTTTACAGATGGCGGTCTTAATCAAGACATTAAGGCTGCCGATGTTATCTCGGTCTGCGGGGCTCGACGAGCTCGGCTCGGCTTAGCGGCGCGCGCTCACGGCCACACTGTTCTCCAGGTTCTCCAGGCACCACTACCGCGCGCCTCACCACCTCCCCGCGACTCATGGAGGCAGGCCTAACTTACGGAGCTAGGTAGGCCATTATTCGCTCCTTTGCAAAACGGAACAAAATAGCCTCAGGAGTCAATATTTTGGGTAAAGCAGTGTATTAAATTCATTCAGAGTAGATGAATTGAGCGCTTTAGGACTTGGGATCACTCACAGCATTGGTTTACAATTACCAACACTTCAACCCTCCAAAACCATTCACCATAGGGGCTATTCGTGTCGCCCTTTAGCCTCAGCCTCTGCCCGCCTGAACACCTGCGATCCGCGGCTGCTCGCCCGTACGGACGGGACGATCCGATACAATGTAGCCTATGAGCGAGGTACGATCCAGTGCCAGTGTGTGTATAGTTGTGTTGTGTGTCCAGTCCAGACGGAGGATCCGGGAGGGACAAAGTAACAGCCATGAGCGGGTGCGTGTCGGTTGTGTCGGTATGTTGTACCCAGACTGACGGTCCCCATGGCAACGTCCCGTGTGGAGAAGGTGTGTGCGCTCCAGCGGCATGAGGAGGACTTCGATAAAACTTTGATGTTGATTACGTGTTGCCCCCCCCC